CTCATGCCACCAGGGTGTGAGCTCCATGAGAGCAGGGGCCTTGCTCCCAGCAGTATCCCCTGTACCTGAGCCCAGGGAGATGCTGGATAAACATCTGGCAAACATTTGATGAAGCACAGCTAGGAGAAAGAGCCCCGGACATGCCAGATGGGAGATGAGAGTTCAAGTCCTTCATATTGCAAGACCTTGAGAATACTAATGATATTGCTTTTAGGGAAATGTGATCAGTAAGGCCTAAGGTACTGGCCCTCAGTTGGGGGTGATTTTGCCTGCCAAGGAACATTTGGCAATAACTGGAGATATTTTTGGTTGTCATTCTATGAGGGTGTTACTGGTATCTAGGCGGTAGAGGGCAGAGATCCTATAAATATCCTGCAATGCACAGGATGGTCCTCACAACCAAAAATGATGTCAACAGTCAGTGCCAAGGTTGAGAAACCCTAGATTAAAGGAACACGATCTAAAACCATAAAGTCACATACAAATGATGATTATTAGTAGTATCAATAGTAGTATTAGGTGCAATAATGAGATGCAACATTAGATTTTTTAAATGTGATATTTTCAAGGGCTCCAGAGGTAGCTTTTATATGATTTGAAATCTGTTTTTGTTTCTTCAAGAGATAGCAATGATAGAAAATGCCCCTGAAATTCCTTTCTCACCAGGAGCTTCTTATTCTGCAAAATTTTGTCAAATGCTATTGAAAAGCCCTCTTGGAAAAATCAGCCCTGCTCAGATCTTTGACCAAAAATAGGAGGATGAACTCCCAGTGCATTTCTCAACCCACTGGAAGTCTCAGCGCTGACCAGTCCTGGAAGCAGACGCTCTACCTGGCTCAGTGGCCTTTTGCCAGCTGAGACCATTAGCCAATAATAAGCTGATTTCCAGAAAATTAGGCAGTGCTCCTTTTAATTGTGTTCTCTGTTGAGAAACAAAGGTCCAGAGAGGTTAGCCCCAGGGCAGCTCCTCCTGTCCCCAGGGTGGCCGGTGTGTGTCTGCTTCACCGCACATGCCACACTGTTTGGTAATCGTCCCACTGCAGATGATGGGCATCCTGAGGACACAGGTCCTGAAGACTCCCTTCTGTGTGAGGCCAAGTCTAGGCTTATGACTGAGCTGTCAAATGACGAAATGCATTTGTCCTACGGGGCTGACGCAGCTGGCGCCCTGCCCACATCCTCTGAGCTCACACTTGCAGCTTCACGCAGATGATGGCTTCTTTACCACAGTGGGAGTTGCAGGAACCATCTCTCCGCCCAAGAACTTTCTCTAGCTGAGGAAGCATACTTGGCCCATGCAAGAGGAAGCCAGCTGTGCAGGGAAGTTAAGGCCCCGGAAGAATCCTGCAGCCAGTAGGCTTTTACTAAAACCATGTCTAGCAGGAATGCATCGTCAAGACAAATTCATTGTAGGATTGCAGATGAATACTAAGGGCAAGGGAGGCAGAGCTGGGAGGGTCTGCAGCGTTAGAAACGGTCCCTGAGACTCAACTCAGAACCCACTAGAGGATGCAGCACTTAGACACCCTTGTGCCCTGCAGAAGATTCCAAACCGTCCAGCATCAGAGTGGCTTGCAGGATATGTTAAAGTGCAGACCCCCACGCTTACTCCGTCAGTTTCTGGTTGGGAAGGAGTGGATTAGGGAGCTGTATTGGCTGTATTCATTTCTCAGGGTGGCCATCACTAAGTACTACCAATTGGGTTGCTTTGAACAACAGAAATATATTCCCCAGAGTTCTAGAGGATAGTCTGAAATCAAGGTGTGGGCAGGGCTGGCTCCGTGTGAGGGCTCTGAGGGAGAATCCACTCCAGTCCTTCCCCCCGGCTCCGCATGGCTGCCAACGCTGGGCGCTCCTGGATTGTAGTTGCATCACCTTAATCCTCCCACATCCTTCTCCCCGTGCCTGCACCTCTTCTCTCGGCAGGACAGACACCAGTCATGTTGGATTAGCTGCCCGCCCTACTCCAACCTGACCTCATCATAACTCATTACATCCGTAACCACCCTATTTCCAAATAAGGTCACATTCTGAAGCAGTGGGGCTCAGGACTGTGACGTATCTTTGAGGGACATCATGCAACCTGTAGCAGGTACATCATCTCCAGGTGCTAACAGGCCCTAAGGTGATTCTGATTGCTCCTCCGGGACTGTGGCCCTCCTCCGGGATTTATCTTTGCAGCCCCCATCATGCAGGGAGCCTGCACGGCCCTGCACATGCTACAGGAGCAGTCAGTGTCAGGATGATGGCCAGGTGCGGCATCTTTAGATGTTATCAGGCCCCCAGGTGATTCTATTGCTCCCTCTCCCCCAGGACTGTGGCCCTGCTGAGTAATGTGTGATTTACATTTGCAGCCCCCTGCACGTTCTGAAGGAGCAGTCGGTGTCAGGCTGATGGCCAGGTCTGTGTAGACTGAAAAAAGGCAGAACTGCTGGGGACCGGGGACGTGGTCCAGGCGGAGCATGATGACAAGCCCAGCTTGGTGGCTGGCTCCCCCTAACCAGCCCCCGACTCACCGCACTGCTCAAGTGGGGAAGAAGGTGCTCGATTTAATTTTCCAGCTACTCAAGTACCAGCCCAGCAGGTGCCTCTGACATGGGATTGCAGAAAGAAGTGGAGGCTAAACAGGTCTCACTTTGTTCTTGGTTTAAAGGAAAAATGCTTGGTTTGGGGCAATCACGCATCGTGAATCAATTTCTCCTAGGCATTTTTTACTGCTGAGAAACTGCGGCAGGGAGGGCTGTGGGTAGATGGAGCCTAGCTCTTCCCACGAGATGAGGTGGGCATGGAGTCGGCTCATGCTCACATAGCATCTTGGGGGACACAGCCAAGCCCTCTCACCTGGACACCTTTATGTGACAGTAAGGCTGAACGTCTGCTGTGACAGGGAGCCTATCAGCCATGAGGGCCACGGAGGAAGCACTCAGGTGAACAGAGACAGGATGAAGAAGCAGGAACCGCAGCTCAGACCCCAGCCAACAGCTTCCCCAACAGCCATGCTCTCCATGGCTCCCCACTGTCAGAAACACATGACTTCTGCCCTCTTTCTTTATATTGCTGACTCCTGTAAAGTATGCCAGCCTCACTTCCAATTCCTGATGACAAATCCACAGGCCGACTACATTTCCCTCATCAATTCACATTTCCACGTGAGAAAGAAAACATCTACTCGGATGAAGCTCCTTTATAGTGGAGTTTCTGCTAAAAGCAGCCAGATGCAACTCCTAAATGACACAGGGAAGGATGTCTCCTTCTCATTTCTTTTTAAAAGGAAGAATCCAAACCGAAGCACCTTCTGGCACACAGCAAAAGGTGAAATGCGACTGCTGTCTGCTTGGGTTCCGCACGGCTGAGCTTTTCACAGGCTCCCGTTTGCCAGCAGCTGCTCTCATGGCCCATACACAAAGAATGAAGGCTGCCTGAGCCCAAGATCCCTGATGCTCTTCGAGCAGAAGTTCCTGGGTCAGGGTTTCTAAGGCTGGGGGAGGGGCCATGAGCCTCAGAGCAGGCAGGACTGCAGGGACATTGGGATAAACTCTGAAACCACTCACGGCGTCAGCCCCCGCCTTCCCCAAGTCTGATGGGCTGTGGTTGCAGAGGCCATTCCTGTGCTGTTGGCCAGAGCTGGGAGACCCCAGCACGAGGTCCTCTAGCAGGCAAGGCTTGCTGCCTAAGCCTGGTGTGTGTGTCTATGCTGATCTGGGCGCCCACTGGCCCTCAGAGCTCTAGCCACCCAGGATCAGTGACAGGCTGCTGCCTCCTTTGCCTCCCCAGTGTTGACTGGGACTGGGACCCTGTCCTGCTCAGTGGCTCACGGCGGGAACCCAAACACCCATCCCTGCCCATCCCTCACCTCTCCCCACTCTCCACGCTCTGGTAATCCAAGCCTCCTAACCTGCGTCGGCCACGCCATCTTCTTCTCTGTGCACTGTTCCCACTCCAGGAATGCCACGTCTTCCCCTACATGTGCCTGAGGACGCAGCCCCACACCGCACCTAGAGAACTTCCCCAACTACCCAGGCTGAGCCAGGTGTCTGCTGTGACATGCACTGCCCTGGGCTGCCCTTGGCCTTAGCACGTGTCTCCTGTGCTGCTGTCATCTGCTGAAAGCCAAAACAGCTGAATACGTGGGTTACATAAGGGCCAGCAATCAATGAATTTTTGAGTCAATGAGTATTTGACTCTCCTGGGGGACAGAAAGCGTCTCTGATTTGCCTCTACCAACCCAAAGCCTGGCTCAGTGTGGGTCAAATGGGGCTCACTGGCTGACCCCGCTGGAGCCCCAGCTCTGGCAAGTCAGCCACAGCCACAAATCCCTTAGATAGTATCATTGACTGGAACCGAGCCTGAGGTGTCTGCCTGCTTTGCTGACCAGGCCCTCAGAGGACAGTCTCGTGGCCAGGGTACACCCCACCCAGACCCTCCCAGACTCCCTGTGTCTCTTTTCCCATCGAGGGCTGCTGAAGTCCCAGCATTCCCCACCCATCTTACCCACGTCAATGTTAATAACGAACCCCGTCCACACCAGGTGCTGTGAGACAACAGCCTCATTTAACTCTCACAGCCCCGCGTGTTAAGGAAGCCTCTTCACTGTGCTGACGCTGATGAGGAGGCTCAGGCAGGGTAAGGTCATTCTGCTGTGGCAGAGCCAGGACTTGGCTCCAGGCAACTTTACCCCAGGGCCCTTACTCCCCATCACAGGGAGCCCGCCTCTCCACCTGTGTTCCTGTGAGCCTGCTCAGGGCTGCTGTGGCCTCCCCATTCTCATGAGCTCTCCCAGAGACTGCTCAGGCCACACAGCAGAGGCAGGATTAGAACATGGCCCTGTCCAATTCAAAATCCAGGAGTTTCATCCCCACCAGGGCCCTGTCTCTCACCCCAGTGATACCTTCCCTTTCGTTGTCAAGGCTGGTTTGGGGGGCAGAGACTGTGATTCTGCCAGGGGGACCTTGGGTCACTTAGGATAGGCCTTGCCTAAGGGTTTGGCATAAAGGACTTACTTCTCTCTGTTGAATATGATGAATTCCTTCCGGACAGTCTCCAAACACTGCTGCAGGTGTCCATTCTGTCAAAGAGCACAGAGAGGTGACTAAATGACGAAGCATGGTCCAGGGAGACACAGGAATGGAGCATCGGAGGACAGCAGATTGTTCTAGATGGAAACCTCAGATGCTTGGGACCGGGTCAAGACAAGCTAAGTGTCTGGGGCAGGCCCTGACTGCTGGGTGGCTGTGTCCAAGGGTAGTCTGGTGGATAAAGATGCTGTTCTCCATTTTAAGCCATTACATCGAACTGAAAAGCCATGGGGGAATGGAACATGGGTTGAAATTCATGAGCTTGTTTTCCTGACCACTTAAGGCCCAAGTAACAGGCATGGAAACCAGAAATTCACAACCATCATGCCAGGGGTAAAACTTTACTACTAGACTTTTATAGCAGAGGGGAGTGTTCTGTGTTGAACTGTGTCCTCTGAAAGGTACCTTGAGTCCCCAGCACGTATAAATATGACCTCATTTGTGAATAGAACCTTCGCAGATGTAATCCGGTTGCGATGAAGCCGCAGTGAATTAGGTAGGCCCTAAGCCCAATGACTGAGGTCCTTATGTAAAGTCCATGTGATGACACAGAGAATGAGGCCATGTGGCAAAGGAGGGAGACGCTGGATCCATGCAGCTGTGAGCCAGCGAAGGTCAAAGGGGGCCGGCTGCCAGCGAGACCCGGGGAGCCAAGGGCGGCCCCTCCCTTACAGCCTTTGGAGAGACCCTGACTGTGCAGAGACCTTGATTCTGCACTTCTGGCATCTGGAACTGTGAGAGAACAAATGTGGGTTTTTAAAGCCACCCAGCTTGTGGCAGCCCCAGAAAATGAATACAGAGTGCCCAGGACCCACAGAAGTCATCGAGACCGCTGAGTCCCTCCCCGTGCCTTAGAGCTACACAAGCTTCCTGCTGTGGGAACAGCCCTCAAAGAATGCCAGGAGTGTGACTGCCTTACTCCACTCGATCCTCATACATTGGACGGTGGTAATAAGGTAACAAGGTAATCGGAAGGGAGAAGCGAAATGTGCCCTTTTTGCTAAAAAGTATCCCGGCTCAATCATTTCCCCGTGAGCCCAGGATTTCTCTCCTGGAACGGCTCCCACGCAGTGCTCACCAGCGGGCAGCTGTCCTTCGTGCCGTCCCGGGATCTGTTCTTTGCCAACCGCTTCTTCTTTTTGTGAAGTGGCTTGGATTCTAGAATCATTTCTTCAAGTTCAAATGTGGGATCACAGTTCAACCTCCCTTTCTAAAGGGGAGTAGAAAAGAAAACATGGTCTGTCTGCATTCCAACCATCACTGAATTTTCATTCATTCATTCAACAGGTAATGATTCATTACCACTGTGGGATACACGGGTTACCTTTGTGTCTGTTTTCTGATGATGAAAAGCAACATGTTCTCACTGTATACATCATTTATTTGCACACATGGTCTCCCTGGGGCAACTCCACTCCTGTTAACATCCAGGTATTTCCTTAGGGCCCTTTCTATGCCTGTTTTTTAAATATAAGGTCGAGTTCAGTTTCCAAATATGATTTTTTTCAGTTACTATTCTATGCACATTGTCCTGTCATTACTATCTTTTTTTTACAAAAATCATTCTAAATAACTTGATTATTTCAGCTAAAAATCTGCCCAACTTCCTGCCCAGCTTCCCGGCTCCCCCTGCAGCTGGAGTCCGCTGACCCTCAGGCCTGGCCCTGCTCCTGGCCAGGGACTCCTCCCGCCTTGGTCAGGAGGGATTTTGGTCTCCCTGACTTCTGGGCTGTAGACCCCAGAATCCTGGTAGCCATTTTCATTCCGGAGCTCTAGCTCAGGAATGTCACTTGTGGGCTGAGGGAGTGGAGTCCTGTGTTCTTTGCCCCGGCTTTCTCAGTCCTAGAGGCTGGGCCTCATCCTTTCTGTTGTGATCTGCTGTGGGCCCTCTTTGGGTTCCCTTCTCCTGCCTGGCACTGGGCTCTGCCCATCATCACCAACTTCTGGAACTCAACTACACTCCTCTTCCTGGAGTTCACACATCTGTCCTCCAGAAGTTACCCTCCCCTAAGGAGCAAGTTGAATCTCAGGCCCAGGTCTCTCCAGAGGTCTTTTACCTGCCATTAATTAATTAATTCATTCATAAAATGCAGGCTCTGCCCTATTTTACCTGCCACCCTTTCATTCATTCATTCATAAAAATGCAGGCTCTGGATCTAGACCATCTGAATTCAAGCTCTGTCAATTTCTCACCGGGAAATCTTGGGCAAGTTACCTAACCTTGCTGAGAATGCCGTTCACAGGATCCACTGCCCAGGACTGGTGTGAAGCTGACATAAGGTACACAGTTATCAGAACTATGCCAGGTACACAGAGCATGCTCAGTCCTACTGCCCATCATCCTTCCTTCATTCACATAACAAGCAGACACTTAGGCCTTCTAGTGCCTTCTAGAACCCATTGTTCTGGGGTCTGGCTCAGACAGAGGCCAGCCAAACTCCTGGGCCCCCACCCTCTGAAGCTCCCAGCGGGACGGGAGGTGCACTGTGACAGAGTGTTCTGACCACTGATGTATCCCTAGGCACCTGTGCAGAGGGTTTCGGGAGAGACTGAGGCCTGCTCTGTGCAGGGAGGTGGTGGCTCTGGCTGGGAATGCCCCAGAGGAGGCCAAGCCTGGGCTTGTTTTTCATTCAGAAGGTGACATAATGTACATGTCCCCTGCAGATTTCATGTTGAGATGTAATTCCCAGTTTGGCCTGGTGGGAGGTGTGTGGTTCATGGGGGTGGATCCTTCATGGCTTGGTGCTGTCTGAGTGAGCTCTCGTGAGAGATCTGGTAGTGTAAGAGTGTGACACCCCCACACTCACTGTGTTCCTGCTCCTGCCACGTGACACACCTGTTCCTGCTTCACCTTCCGCCCTGATTGGAAGCTCCCTGAGACCTCCCTGTCCCCAGGAGCCAAGCAGATGCTATGCCTCCTGTACAGTCTGCAGGACTGTAAGCCAATGAAGCCTCTCTTCTTTATAAATTACTCAGCCTCAGTTATTCCTGTATAACAATGCAAGAGTGGCCTAATACAGAAGGCTCTTGCTGAGATCTGCAACTGGGCCAGTCCTTGCTTTCTGCTGTCTGGAAGGAGGGGTAGGAGGCTGCCTTGTGGACAAGGAGAGGAAGGGATCCCCAGAAGAGCAAGTGGCCCATGCACAGGTTCCAGCAAGAAGACAGCACAGCCAGAGGGAGGCCACATGCGGCGCTGTAGGTGAGTGTGTGTGTGTATGGGAGTGTGCATGTGTGTGAAGCTGTGTTTGGGTGAGTGTATATGTGAATGCATGTGTTTGTGTAGGGTGAGTGTATGTGTGTGAGACATATACATCAAGTGTGGGGGCCAGTGTGCATATGCATGAGTATGCACGTGTGTTTGTGTGTGTGTGTGCGCATCAGCGTGTGGGTGTGTGCAGAAGATGGGCTGGGGAGAAGCAGCAGGCCAGTGGGCTTCAAAGGCAGGCACCTGCCAACAGGCTCACGCACACAATATGGCTAAGCCACAGGCTGGCCCCAGGTGCCCCCCAGGGCATCCTAGCACACAGCCTCGGGGAAGGCTCAGACACCATGGGGAAAGCGTTAATTAGGCAATTTGTGCCTGATGTGCAGGACCGCATCGAGATTCCTTCGTCACTCTCACCCTGAGTTTGGCAGATCAGAGCCCGTGGAGAAGGTGGGTACATTTCTCCGGACTGCCCAAAATGTGCGTTCAGAAGGAAGTCAGCTAGGGGAACGCACACAGAGCTGAGGCTTTGGAAGCCTCTGGGCACTACTCCCCAGCTCTGCGAGGGTCCTGGTTTCTCATCTGACCTGTGAAGAATTGGGATGCAGCCATCTAAGGTCACAGAGATGGCAGAGGGGCCCCAAACCTCTACTCCCGGCTCCGCAGAACCTGCAGGGCTCCTTCCGAGGGGTCAGCCCCTTGGTTTCTTTTCTATGTCTTTGTAGGTCTATTGCCTTATGGTTCCACAAAACCCTAGCCAGTGGTTGTCAGCTGGGGACAACTTTATCCACAGGGGATGCTTGGCAATGTCTGGAGACATTTTTTGGTGGTCACAACAGAGGGGAGACGACTGGCATCTATGGGTAGAGTCCTGGGGTGCTGGTAAACACCCTGCAAGGCACAGGGCAGCCCCATCCCGAAGAATGATCCCTCCCCAAAGGTCTATCCACAGTGGGGGCTCCTCATTGTTGTCTGCAGCTCCCTGGCAGCTGGCCCTGGGGTGGTTGTCTTCCCAGGGGTTCAGCTCCTGTGCAGTACAGTGCTGCTGGGTACAGGTGCTCGGTGGACACAGAATGGTGACAGCGAGGTCTGCGTTTTCACCCAAAGCTGACTTTCTCACTGGCCAGGGGAATAGGGTGGGAAATGGGATGGAGACTGCCTGCCCCCAGCATTGAGACATTGCCCCCACAGCTGACCCTGCTGACCCCAAGACACACCTGCCCGCCCACAGACACACAGGCACACAAGCAGGTACACACAGACACATATATAGGTACACACAGACACACAGATACACAGGCACACAGACACAAAAACACAGGCACACACGCAGGCACACACACACATAGACATAGGTACACACAGATACACACACAAAGATATACAGGCACACAAACACAGACGCGCAGGCACACACATAGGTACACATACACAGACATACATAGGTACACACAGACACACACACACACATAGGTACACACAGAGACATACACAGATACACACGCACACAGACACAAAAACACAGGCACACAAAAAGATGCACAGGCACACAAAAAGATGCACAGGCACACAGACACAAAAACAGGCACACACACACACAGATGCACAGACACACACACAGACATGCACACAGACACAGACATACAAACAGGTACACACAAATGCACTGGCATGCACACACAGACACACACAGACACACTTCCATACAGATGCACATAGAAACACACAGCTCACACAGAGCTCCCAGTTGGCCAAGTGAGATCCGACAACAGTTATATTGGGAGAACAGCAGAGAACCCCACCTAACGAGCTGCTCTGTGCTAAGCCTGCCCTGGACGCTTTGTCCCCATGGCCTGTTTCCACAGGAGTCCGAGGGGTGTCTGAAGAGCCAGGGAGCCTTCTGAACTCAGAGGCAGCACCATGTCCACCCTGAAGTCAAGGAAGCCTTCCAGCCGGGCAGAGTCCCTGAGGTCAGGCAGGCCTGGACGGGTAGAGGAGGTCTAGGCAGCGGGAATGGCCTGGAAGACGGGGACGCAGCCCTGTGCAGCCATTACGCAGCCTGGGAGGGAGGCAGGGAGAAAGGTGGGCTTGGGGAGAGCAGGGCCGGCCCTGGACAGGGTGTGCTGGCCACGCAGGTGGGACGCAGCACTGCTCACGGGGGGGAGGACGGGAACAGACTAGCGTCAGCCAGGCTTGGCTTTGGTTGGATTCACTAGTGAGCCCCGGGCAGGCCGAGGGAGGGTCTGTGTTCAGAAACGTGCATGTGCACGGCCAGCACTGTGCAGAGGGCCTGGAAGCCTGGCGCTCTTGGAGAAGCTGATGTGGGGAAACATTATTGTTGCACCGAAAGGAGTGACAGAAGTCTTTAAAATAATCTGACATGAGCACCAGCCGGGGACATCTGAGGCTCCCCAGGAACCAGCCTCGTGGCCGCCAAAACTCTCTTGCCTTCCTCGCTGGAGTCTCCACCTCCATTCAGATAATATGGGGCTGGAACAGGTGATGATTAAGACCAATCTCGTGGTGTCTTTTCTGCTCACACACTGCTACCGGGCAGAGCCATGGCAGGCGAGCGGGTGGGGTGTGCTGTCCTAGGTCACAGAGGGCAGAGGTGGCTGAGCTGGAATGTCACCCAGGACTTCTGTCCCAAATGTCATTATTCCTCAGGCGCTCTCTGCAATTCCCTCCAGGAGAAATGCCACTGCGCCGCAGGAAGGGCCACAGGAGGCTTCCAGGAAGGTCCAGACTCTCAGCGTCTCTCCTGGAGGACCCAGGAGCCTCCAACTCATGGCAGAACCTTCCTTTAAAATGTAAACCCAATGCTTTCGCTTCCCTGCCTTAAACACTCCAGCTTCTGGTGGATAAAACCTAAAACCTTTACTGTGGCCTCCGGAAGCCTATTTGGTGTGGCACGGGTTCCCTCCCAGCCCCATTTCCTATTATTTTCCCTCTGGTTTATTCCATTAAATGCTATACAATTGTTCTTTGACATCCAGGCTCTCTGCTGCCTTCAAGAGTGTGATTTTGATGATCCCTTTGCCTGGAGGGTTCAGGGCTCATCCCGGCAGTCCTGCGCCCCTCACTTCATCTCTAGGTCTCTGCCGACTCTCCTAAAAGAGGCCCCTGCCTCTGCCCCTCCCACTCCACCTCTCCCTCTTCTGAGCTTGTGGAACAAGTGCTGACGGCCCTGTGGGGGTAGGTCATTGCCTGTCTTTCTCTACTTGGCAGTCAGCTCCATGGAGGCAGAATAGATCAGCCTGCTACCCCAACGCCTGGACCTTAGCACATGGGGGTGGCATTTGGTGACAGACAGGTGTCTCCATCCCCAAAGGACCCGCCATAAGGAGGGAAACTGCACAGCTGGGACCTTGGAAATCAGGCCCAAATTCACCCCACATTCCCGCAGGACAGAAGCCCTTGGTGCTCAGGTGGTCGTGGCCAGCAGAGGGCTCACTGGCCAGCTGCCAAAGTCTTGCTTTGCACCAAGGCGGGGACCCTGCAGAGGGGTGGCATGACATCAGGGGGACTTCCACTCACATTGGGCACAAAGCCGGGCATCAGCGCCTTCTCGAACACTGCGTCCCAGTTCATGTCAGCCAAGTAGGGCACACTCTGTATGTCACGAAGGCTGGACAGGCGGCACTCAGGATCCTTGGTCAGGAGCTGCAGTCAGAGGGCAAATGTGTTTCTGTGAACTGGGCATCCCTCAAGGTTAGCGGGACTCTGAAGGAGGGGTCTCGGGGCAATGAATGTGCCTCTGCTCTCCATGCCCAACAGATGTCGTGCCCTGTCTGGGTCGCTGCTGTGGGAAACGCCATCTGCACTCATCTCTTTATAGCCAGGGAGAAGCTGAGAGGTGAGGCTGCTTTTGCAAGGTCATCAGTGAGGGGCTGCTGGGGCAGGGACCAGAAATTCAGTTCCCATGTTCCTTTCTGGGACTGGAACCTGTAGCAGGCTGCCTCTCTGATGTCTGCAGAAGCATCCAATTACAAATAGAATCAGCTGCCTCGTCTTAGGATTTCCAACTTGGTAATGGGCGGTAGCAAACTTGTAATAAAATTTATTGTAATAAAATGTATCCCTGGACAGCTATGAGGTGACCTCTGTGACCTAATGAAGTGGTCTTATTTGTAGCGAAGGGGACACTTTTTAGCTCCTCTTCGAATTGAGTTTTAGCTAATGAGGAGTGATGTGGCATAAGAACAGCCAAAGATTATGACCTGGCGTCCCAGTGGGGCCCCAACTTTCCAAAATCCCATAGCTTATCTATTGAAAAAGCGCAAGGGCCAAGAATGAAAAGACAGAGGCCTGGCCCTGGGACTGTCATTTAACAGCTGTGACCTTGGGCGAGCTGCTGGGTGCCCTGGGCTCATTGCCTCCTCCTGAAAGCAGGGGGAATAATGAGACTCCTCCACTTCCAGCTCCGGGTAGGATGAGACTAAGTGGGAATGATAAGGACCTGGCATGTACTTAGAAAGCGGGGGGCACACCAGCGTCCACAGGTAGAGCTAGAAGCCAGAGCCCCTGCCAGGTCACACACACCTGTCATTGCAGAAATCTCCCAGCTATGCCCATTGAGTGGCTGGAGTCACACCCCACAAGGGATAGCTAGCAGAGGTTGCATCTGCTGGTTATGGCTGAAACTCTTTAGGGACTGTCCCAAAACAGTTGAGTGCCTACTCAAACAGGTTCCACTACAATGTCCCCTGGAAGTTCACTGTTCAGAGCAGCCGTTCTGAAAACATGCTGATGCCCAGACCCGAGGGCCAGTTTCTGAGTCACTTGGGTGGGCTGGGAGGTGCAGGCATTGGTGGTATGTAAGGCTTCCAGATGGTTCTCATGAGCAGTCAGAGTTAAGCGCCACTGATTTAGAACCAGGTGATGGGATTTGAGGGCGATCTGGCTGTGACACCTGTCATTGATTGCCGAGGTTGATCTGGCTGATCTGGCTGGCTAGGCAGGTGTCCCCTTCCTCCCTCACAGCTCCACATGCGTCCCTCTGAAAGCTGTGCCCTGGGTCAAAGAGGACGACCAATGCCCAGTAGAGGAGGATCCGTCTTCTGTCAAGGGTATATGAGTAACTGTGTTCCCCTGCTGGAGCCTCCAAGCAAGCTCTCAAGAACCAGGTGGTGGATTTCCTTTAAAGTAATTTAACTAATTTGTAATTCAACAAGTCATTATAGCCATGTAGGGATTAAAAGCTGGGACCTGGAGTTAGGGGGGTTTGGATTCAAATCCCACTCTGCCTTTCAATAGCTCTGTGGCATTGATTCAATGATTTGCTTTCCTACACCTTGGCTTTCTCATCACTGGTACTGGGATAATGACACTTCCCTGGTCACAGGGCTTGGGAGGAGTAGGGAGAAGAGCCATCATCTGGCCAAGAACACAGGACCTTTAAACACGATTGGGTGCCAACCTCATGCGGGACTCAGCTCCATGCATTGTGGAGGACGTGAAGGGAGCCTTGAAGGCAGGGCACCAAGATCGCCTGCCCAAGCTGGACGGGACTGCACATCAGAACCACCTGGAGAGCTCATGGGGACACAGACATTGGGGCCCACTCCAGCCATCTGATTCAGTTCTGGCTGGAGCCTGAAGGATAGGCGTTTCCAGCAGGCTCCCACGTGATGCTGATGCTGGCTGGTCCTGGGCCCGTATTTCGAGAACCACTGCTTTATTCTAATAGCAACAGTTCCTGCAGAAAGTCAGGGAGATACCCAATTTTTTTCTTTTCTTTTCTTTTCTTTTTTTTTTTTTTTGAGACGGAGTTTTGCTTTTGTTTCCCAGGCTGCAGTGCACTGGCATGATCTCGGCTCACCGCAATCTCCGCTCCTGGGTTCTAGCAATTCTCCTGCCTCAGCCTCCCGAGTAGCTGGGATCATAGGTATGCACCACCACACCTGGCTCATTTTGTATTTTTAGTAGAGATGGGGGCTTCTCCATGTTGGTCAGGCTGGTCTCTAACTCCTGACCTCAGGTGATACACCTGCCTTGGCCTCCCAAAGTGTTGAGATTACAGGTGTGAGCTACTGTGCCTGGCTGAGATACCCAATTTCCTAAAGGTCATTGAGTGAAAAGGCTGTGTGCAGCAGATTTGAAAAGCCCATATGCATTAAGTATTTCCATTTGTTAGAAGCTGGTAGCAGAGTGACAAGAGCCTGGGGGCTTACTGTCACAGCCTTCACTGTCCTCCGAGGCTTGCTGATCTGCACACACCCCCATAATCATGCTTATTCCACGGCACTTGGCATTTGAGCGCAGCTGACTTGATCATTTCCACTCCTGATATGCCACTTGTATTCTGACCCCTTGGTTTGCTGATATGGCCGTTTCTATACTCACTGTAGTTCCCTGGCTGGGGAGGCTGGCAGCTGCCCCCTTACCTTCTTCAGCAGGACCACCATCCCCTTGTACCACGTGGAGGAGTAGTGGACACGCTCCACCTTGAACATGTTGAGGATTTCATCGATGGGCGTGGCCGAGTGGATTTCGTACGGCCTCTGCAACCACAGGACGACAGCCAGAATCAGAGAGAGGGCATCAGAAGGCACAGTCCATGCAATTTAAGATTGTGCGATTATGAGGAGCAGTTTATTTTTCCCCTGGGTGCCTCTCTTTTATGGCAGAGCAGGTGGCCTGAACCCATGTGCCCATAGTAACCAGGCCCAGGGGCCAGTGCAGGAGCTGGCAGGTGGGTGCTGCTCCTGTGACCACAGGAGGTTAGGGGTGACTCACAGCCCATAAGTGGCAGAGGCAGGATTCACTCTCAGCAGCTTAACACGAGTCACTGCTCCAGTCACAGGCTTGGGGGCTGACTCTTGCCATCCACCAGGCACCCAGGGACACTTCCAGTCATAGCCTCTACCTGCTGCAGGGCCTTGGCCACCATTGTCCCCGTCCTGGCTGAACTGCCCGATGGGGTGGACAGGGCTGAGATGGCCAGCGTCTGGCTGTGGCTGGGCTGACAGGATGGGAGGACACCAGCAGTCGTCCCCTGCCTTCTCACCTGCTCTCCCTTTCCCATGGAAAGGATGTGTACGCTGTGTTCTCCCCCAGTTCCCAAACTTGGTAGGAAATGAAGCCTCCTGACCATGTTTCTCAACATTCCCGTGTACAGTTTCTTGCTTCTAAGCCCCTCTCAAAGCTCGGGAACTTTCTTGAGTATGATACTGGGGACAAAGCTTGGAGTGCTTCTGAGCAGCAGTGTGCTCCCGACCCTCGCTTCCTGTGCCCTGACCCCCATGAAAGAACATCTCTCCCAGACCTCTCTCCGGCTGAACTGCAGTCCAAGATGTTTTCAGGTTTGTACCATGGCCACATGCCTTGGAACTACAAGAGCAATAGGGTCCCTGGCACGTGTGGTGCAACAAACAAACTGATCCCGGAGAAGTCTGAGCGGTGAATCCACAATAATACATATGAAATCGATTGCCATTAATACATGCCAGTAAAATTATTGCTGTCTGTCTCCTCCGTGAAGCTGTGGGCTGCTCAAAGCAGGGAATTTGACCATGTTCATTTCTCTGTCATCAAGCAGGGTCCCAGAGCACGGCAACAGAGAAGGTCTCAGTCCCTCCACAGGTGCTGAGCCAACACTGACCCTGAGTCAGATGCCATATTGGGATCCCACTGCCACGCTGGGTTCTGGGGTTTGGGGTTTCCAGGTACACACTGTGTAAAAGCACTCACTTGCACTGGTTGCACCTTGAGTTCTGGTTCCAGAAAAGTTCCAAGAAGCCTAGCCCTGGTGAAACAAAAACTGGTAGGACCCGGAGATGCCTGAGTTGGAAACTAACTCCCCTTATCACCATCCTGAAAACCCCGCCCGGCGGGAGCTGATTTCCTTTGCATGTGGTGTATATAGAAGCATGATCTGCTGGCACCACCCTTACTGGCCACCCTCCTAGGTTGTGGTCACTGAACTGTCATGCACCACATGATCAAGCCCACAGGTCGTGTGGGTAACACTGTGGCACTCAGGGCGCTGGCTCTGGCCTTGTGGAAACACAATTCCCACGGGGCTGCTGCAGATGGAAGGTGCCAGCCCAAAGGGGTGCGGGTTCCCGATCCCTGGAAGGGCTATAGTTCCCTGGCGTGAAGGGGCACCTTTATCCTCACCAAACAGGGGGCCCTGGAGGGCTGCGCCTGGTGCTGCCTCAGATGTGCCCACCAAAAAGGAGCTTTTTTTTTCCCCTGACTGGCACGTTCTTTCTTATCTGTTAATTGAATGAGGACTTGTCAGTTTCACCATATAACAGGCAGAGCAAAACCGAAACCCGTGGGCTCTCTAGAAAGGCCAATTAACTTGATACGCTACCATTTAAAAAATCTTTCTTCAAACATTTTTTTTAATCTAATGGGAAATAGTTACATCCATGAACGAGTATTTTCTGCCCGCTGTTGCGCGTGTGAGACCCCTCTGCACTTGGCCAGAAACAAAGACCGTAATTAGAGTGATAAGAGCCGATCTCAACTGAAAATGGCCCTTAGGTGACACAAAGCTCACAGATTCTTGATGAGCTGGTGACTGTTAACATGACCATGTCACAGAACACAAAACAGAGCCAAGACACCCTGAAGCTGGGCACTAAGGTGAGAGGACAGGCAGTGTGAGTCACCAAGGCCCGCCTCTGACCGCTACTGCTACAGGGAAAACTGTGTCCCCCAAATTCATATGCTAAAGTCCTAGCCTGCAGGCCCTCAGAATGTGGCCTTATGGGGACATAGGCTCTTTATAGAAGTAATGCAATTGACATAAGGTCATTAGAGTCGGTCCTAATTCAACCTGACCTGGGTCCTTATAAAAAGGAGACGTTAAGGCACAGAGCGACACACAGAGGAAAGACTCTGTGAAGAAGACAGCCATCCATAACCCAAGGAGAGAGGCCTGCCAACAGGTCCTTCCCTCAGCCTCAGGGAGAACGAAGCCTGCCAACCACGTCATCTGGGACTTCGGGCCTGCAGCACTGTGAGAGGATGATTTCTGTTTAAGACACCCAGTGTGTGGATCTCAGTTAAGGCTGTCGCAGGCAATGAACAGCAGCCTCCACCGTCCACACGCAGAGCTCTCACTGGAGGCGGCCGACTTTGACTCTACTCCTGTGATGAGCAGGTGCCCTCTGTGGATGGGGTCGGCGAGAGCAGGACAGACATGGTCCCTCCCACACTGAGCTCCCTGTCTTGGAGGCAGACGGGCCATAAAGAGAGGTCAGGGGTGGAATGAGTGCTGGGGAGGGAACCTGCGGACTGCTGGGCATGTTTAGGGGAGGGGAGTTCTTTATAATCTCCACTGGAGCAGGGGCAAGAGACCCAGAGCTCAGGGCCACCACCGGGAGGTGAGCTGGGGCTGAGCTCAGTTTTTTTTTTTTTTTTTTGGAGACAGTTTCACTCTTGTCGCCTAGACAGTTTCACTCTTGTCGCCTCAGCTCACTGTAAACTCCACCTCCTGGGTTCAAGCGATTATCCTGTTTCAGCCTCCCAAGTAGCTGGGATTACAGGCACATGTCACCACGCCTGGCTAATTTTTTGTATTTTTAGTAGAGATGGGGTTTCACCATGTTGGCCAGGCTGATCTCGAACTCCTGACCACAGGTGATCCACCTGCCTCAGCCTCCCAAAGTGCTGGGATTACAGACGTGAGCCACTGCGCCCGGCCATTTTGGACTGTTTATTATTGCTTCTTCCCAACTTTTTTGCCTTTCAATAAACAGTTCTTCCCAACACAGTCCCACTCCTACCCTGAAAGCCCAGCTGCTGGAAGTGCAAAGACCCTGGATGATGATGCAGTCACCTCGTTCCTCATTTCGAAAGTCAGGAAACAGGCTGGGAGATGAAAAGAGACTTTCCCAATGTCCCACATTCTCATCCCCTGCTCTTTCTGCAGGGCCACCAGAGACCGAGAATCCAAGCACCCAGCTAGAACATCAGCCAGAAACAAATGTAAAGGTTTTCTTATCATTTACGCTTAATTCCCTATTTCCTTCTTGGTCGCTTCAAGGTGCTCATCAATTCTGCTTTTCCATTGGACCTCCACGTGAGCTCCTCTCTCTCTAATCTCTGCAGTTCTCTCTCCTAGAGGCAACCGGACCAATTACAGAAATAACTCCAGTACACCAGGAAGCTAGTGCCAGATACCCATTTAGACATGAGTTTGGAACATGATGACTAAAACAAGTTCCTCAGGTTCAGCCCTTATCTGCTTGGGCGTCTGAAGAGAAACGTACATCCTTTTACAAGATGATCAGCAAATATTAAGATCAGTATCCTGTCTGCTGGTAGTGATGCTGGGTTCTCACTTGCTGGCCTTGAGATGTGTTGCCTCAGAACACCAGGTGGTATTTATAAGGTAAAGTAATTCCATGTACTGCTGGTAAAAGTGATTTTAGCAGTGGGACATTGGATATACCCATTATGGAGTGCAGGGGTGTCTCTATTCCAGGAAACTCAGTTTACAAAAAAAAAAAAAAAAAAAAAAAAAAGCCAATTTACCAAAAAATAGAAGACAGAGGAAAAGAATTGCCAGATGCCTGTCATTTTAACTGTTAAATTTGAGCTGGGCCTTGGAGACCATCTGATCCAATGCTTTTTTTCGCCCCAATCTTTTTACCCAAAATCACAAACACAGAACAGATGAAAGTGAAGAATAGTTCCTTAGGCAACTTAAACCCCCAAAGCCCAAATAAACACTTTTCCCCCTCTGGAACTGTTGAATCATCTCTGCGGGGTCCTAGAGTCTGAGAAACACAGCTGGAAACCACTGAAAAATTCGCCACGGTCCTTCCCCCTCCTTTCAGTGGAGATCACAGACTGCATTACCTCCGGGCTTGTGACTCCTGGCACAGTGCTCTACCGGCCCCCTCGGTGAGGCTGACACACCTACATGATCCTGCTTCTCCGGGTTCAGCCCACCCACCCCTTGTACATCTGCAGGACTCAGTGCTGCACCCTCACCTCTAGAGGGAGCTCCCAGCACCCTCCCTCTGCTCTGGCCTCTGCACCCTCAATCGTCTCTACCCATTCCCAGGGAGAAGTGCTGACTGGGGTCAAAGGCAAGGGTAAGACCAGATCAGGAAAGAGGCTGGTAGGTGAGCAGAGAGGGTAAAGCCCTCATGTCCCCGTGGCATGGGCACCAAGAAGCAGAGTGTGGACGGGAACCCATCTCTGCTCATGAAGCCCACAGGCCTTACTCGCTAATGGTCAGCAAGCAGGTGTGATCCAGCCTCCGCTCTCAGCCCCCGTCTCTAGTGCTTGAAGGGTGCTAAGGTGGGAAGGATGCAGGCTTTCCAGCAGGTCCTCCCAGGGTAGAAGTCCTAGGGGAGCGTGAAAGGGGCGAGGGGCGCTGAAAGCCCAGTCTGTGGGGGTGCAATGCAATGTGCTAATGGCCTCATGTGCAGGATCTGGCTTAGTCCTCCTGATTGTTCTATGGCCGTGGTTCCCAACCAGGGACAACTGTCCCCCAGGGGATATCTGGCAACATTTGGAGTCATTTTGGGTTGCCAGAACTGGGTGGGGAGTTCTGCTGGCATCTGATGGTAGAGGCCAGTGATACTGCTGAACATCCTGAAATGCACAGGGCAGCCCTGCACCACAAAGAATTATCGGCCTCAGATGTCCACAGTGCCCAGGTGGAGAAACCTGTGCCACCGGCCTGCACCACTATTCTCCCCATTTTATAGATGAGAAACAGGCTCACTGGAGATCACTGACAGTCCAGTTGGCGAAGTCAGGATTTGAACCCATGTGTGTCTATGTGTAATATGGCCACTGTGTGTCACTTCCCTGCTTAGGTTCCATGAATGGCACCACACTACCTAAAGAGTAAAGCCAAGTGCCTCCAGCTGGCCTCAGGTCCTTTTAATACTGTCCCCTCACTATCCTGACAGGTGGTTAGGCCAAAATGTGTGTTGAGTCAGCCTTAGCTTTCAATTCTCTTTCTGTGCCCACACTATTCCTTCCAATCATTCATATATGACTGACTTCAATGTCTCCGCCCTCTGAAATTCTCCTCTGCTCCTCTAAACCTAAGTCAGCAGAACTTTACCTGCATCTACCGGTCTTGTGGAATCACCGCTGTGTGTATATTTACTTATTAGTGTAATAATCAGCCTATCTCCTGTGTGCCAGACACTGCCTATACCCTGAGCACATTTTCTTACGTAATCCCACTGTGACCCTGCAGGTGGGCCTGATAAGCCTTCTTTTATGAATGAGGAAGCCGGGGCTCAGCTGAGTTAAGTGACTTAGCCCAAAGCACAGCACCAAGAAGCACAGAGTGTGGACAGGAACCCATCTCTGCTCATGAAGCCCACAGGCCTTTCTCGCTAATGGTCAGCAAGCAGGTGTGATCCAGCCTCTGCTCTCAGTGCCTGCCTCTAGTGCTTGAAAGGTGCTAAATTGGGAAGGACACAGGCTTTTCAGCAGGTCCTCCCTGGGGACGTTTCCTGAGTGCCAGCCATTCATCAGTCATGGAGCTGGGTAATTAACATAATCAGAATCATTTAATTCTCAAAGCAATCCTATTGGGTAGATATAATTACTAATTTCTTCTTGTTAACGCAGAAGGATTGTGAACATTCAGCCTTACTTAGGATCCCAGATGGGGCACCTGGTAGAGCCAGGGTTTGAACCTGTGAGATTCCTCTAAGATTATTTTCCTCTATTATAAAGAAACAGGTTTTGACTGAGTAAGGGGAAAAAATTTCTAGCCATTAGAGCTGTCCAAGAGTGAAAAAGATTCTTTCTGGAGGCACGGAACTCTCTGGATCCTGAGGATAATCAATAAACAGAGGGGTGCTCACCTGTCAGAGAGATGACAATGGCTGGCTAAAGATCTGTCCATCTCTTCTCTGTGGATATGGTCAGGGGAAGGGAGATCTCATATCTCTTTCCATAGTGTCCTCTGGAGAGGCGATAGTCAGAGTGCCAGAGTGACTGGGGCACCAAAAGGAATTTCGACAAGTGGCACCTACTTGGGCCTTTTCCTTTCCCTCAGCAGGCCTGCCAGGGTTAAGAGCTAAGGTTCTAGTTTGGTTCAGAGAGAAGTTCTATCCTACTTATGCCTCTTGTCCAGCCTACAAGCTCCAACCCAAAGCACAGGTTCTCTGCATCCATGGTCCCCAACATTTGTGGCACCAGGAAGACAATTTTTCCATGGACTAGAGTTGGAGGAGATGGTTTCAGGATGATCCAAGCGGATTACATTTATTGTATACTTTATTTCTATTATCATATTGTAATATGTAATGAAATAATTACACAACTCACTATAATGTAGAATCAGTGGGAGCCCTGAGCTTGTTTTCTGCAACTAGGCAGTCCCATCTGGGGGTGACGGGAGACAGTGACAGATCATCAGGCAGTCGATTCTCATAAGGAGCACGCACCCTACTCCCTCATTTGCACAGTTCACAGTTGGGTTCATGCTCCTATGAGAGTCTAATGCTACCGCCAGCCTGGCAGAAGGTGGAGCTCAGGTGGTGATGTGAGTGACGGGGAGTGGCTTTAAATACAGACAAAGTTTCCCTGGCTCATCTGCCATTCACCTTCTCCTTCTGCTGTGCTGTGTGGCCAGTTCCTAGAAGGCCACAGGCTAGAACCCAGGTCTAGCGGTTGGAGGCCCCTGCTCTGCACTCTGGTCTCAAAGCTGCCAGTGGCACACAGCCCCTCTGCTCCCGGTAAAGAGTGCTTGGCTCCTCATAAGGAAAAATAGCTGTTTTCCTGGGTCCCCGGCCAACAAGCCATATTAATATCAATTTTCCACACATTATTTTCAATGCTTCCCAACTCGAAGATTCTACAATATTGGAAAATCCAACTCTGCTGTTTTTTTAAGACAGAGTCTTGCTGCGTTGCATCAGGTTGGAATGCAGTGGTGCCATCTTGGCTCACTGCAGCCTCCACCTCCCTGGTTCAAGCGATTTTCCTGCCTCAGCCTCCCGAGTAGCTGGGATTTGAGGTGCCCACCTCCACGTCAGGCTAATTTTTTGTATTTTTAGTAGAGATGGGGTTTCACCATATTGACCAGGCTGGTCTCAAACTCCTGACCTCAGGTGATCTGCCCTCCTGGGCCACCCAAAGCGCTGGGATTACGGATGTGAGCCACTGTGCCTGGCCCCTACTATGGCTTTTCTTTCTCTTTTGGAGGTAAGGAGTTCCATGGATCCTACCCAAGGATGTTGTCACTGACATGACTGAGGAATTGCAAACAGGGGAGAATAATTCCTAAATTTACGCAGCCTGTGGATAAATATGAGTATTTTTCAGCACAGCTTTTTTACTAAACAACTGTTTCCAGTATGAAAAACAGAGAAGAAATTATTTGCAGAAGCCTGTTGTCCTTTGGGTCAAAGAATAAGCCAGCCAAAAATATTTGGGAAAAAGATTTACACTAGTACGTAACAGGTGGTGTTCTTTCATTCCATTAGTTTGTCTCCACGCCAAAGGCCCGGATCCCACCTCCCCCGCCCCCCATCATTTGCTGCTGCTTCTTCCAAGAAGCATCCTCCTTGAAAATAGCATCTGGATCTTTAAGCAGAAAACTCAGAAGAATTAAAAAATAAAATAAAGTAGTTTATTTGTGAATCAGCAGGGACCGCTCCATCCTTGGGGCTTTTTGCCAAGCTATCATCTTTGACTGCACTGACCCATGAGAGATGACTGCCAATATCCCTTCTGTTGGCAGGAGGCCAGTCACGTTTAGGGCAACTGCTTGCCAAGGTCTTTTCTGTGATTGATTACATACGATTAAGAGCCTCTGGCTAATGCCTGTGTGCTCTGGTTCCTACGACATCGTGGACCCTCATGTTCCTCCTCCGAGCATATATATCAAAGGAAACAGCCGCCAAGCAATGAACAAAGCGGGAACACCGCCCAGGGGCCCATCTCACCCAGCCCTGCAGCAGCTCACAGATAAACCTGCGAGACATTAGCTCTTTCCATTCAGTGAGCGAGTTCCTATTTTCTTTGTATTCTAAAAATGCAATGTATAATGATATGTTTTTGAGGAATTCAGGAAAAATAATTGAGATAAAGAGCAGAAAATTGTTGCTTGACTACAGGGTGATAAATAATACTTATCTGCACTCACAGTGTACAAACGGCTCTCATCATTCATTCATTCAACAAACATTCATTCAACACCCATTATAATCATGCAGTGGGACACCCACAATGAATAAGACACTACCATGCCCTCAAGGAAGTTACTTTTCATGGGCATGAATATGCATGTATGCAAATGACTTAAACAACATTACAACTATAGCTTGTGGGAGAATCCCTCTCTTTGCCTCTGTTGACTCTGTGCTGGGCACTGGTGCTATGGAGCCAAGTCTCAGGCAAACCAGGTCTCCCACAGTCCAGGAACCCAGGAATCCTAAAACTCAAGCTCTGCAAATAGACAGAAATGATATTATTATCCCTGTTGTACTAATGAAGAAACCATGGTCCTGAGACATGGTGAAGTGACACCCTTTTCAAATGATACTTGTACAAAGAAATATACCTCAAAATTAATTTTAGTCAAAATGCTTTCTTTTTTTCTGAGACAGGGTCTCACTCTGTCTCCCAGGCTAGAGTGCAGTGGCACCATCATGGCATAGCTCACTGCAGCCTTGACCTCCCAGGCTCAGGCGATCCTCCCAGGCTCAGGCGATCCTCCTGCCTCAGCCTCCTAAGTAGCTGAGACTATAGCAGAGTGCCACCATGTTCTGCTATTTTTAAAAAAATGTTATTACTTGTAGAGCTGGAATGTCTCAATGTTTCCCATGCTGGTCTCAAATTCCTGGGCTCAAGAGATCCTCCCACCAAAGCCTCCCAAAGTTCTGGGATTACAGTGCTGAGCCACTGCACCCAGCCTAGATATAATACTTTCTGCTCAAATAAAAATATGTGTTATGACAGCTGCCAAACAGCCCCATTAATTATCTTCAGCTAGTAAATTTAAATGCAATAAAATAAAAATAGGTATCGAACGTCTCGTTTTTGAGGACACTGAGTTACATATTCAGGGAAGATGTGAAACAAACAGAGACAAAAAGAAGTAGGGTCTTCACCTTAAAAGATTTTTCGGTCAGCTAGAAAATCAGACATGGAGGCCTTGTGTTGTGGATTCAGAGGGGACAGTGTTTGAAACCACGAGGCCAGGGTGCTTTGGTGTTTGACCTGTCACTGATCTGCTGGGGGCCTTTGTGTAAGACCCTCCCCCTCCGGACGCCTCTTTTTTTTTTCTGTACAGTGAGGGGGTTGAACCAGAAGGGCGCTCCTAGGTGGCACACAGGCATGGGGATTGAAGCCCGGGGCGCGGTGACTCCCCCAGCTGTGCTCCTTCCTGCACCGCGGGCCCTGCCGACCCCACCCGGCAGGTACAGCGTGAGCCCCCTGCACAGCCCTCGTGTGCCCTGGTCTTACCCAGCCCCGCAGCAGCTCGTAGGCCGTGACGCCCAGGGACCACCAGTCGACAGGGTACGAGTATCCAGGGCCTCCATCCAGGTACACCTGGAATACTTCTGGGGCTGCCAACGAGAGGACAAAGAGAACGTCACTGTGGGTCCCAGTTTACGACCACCGATGTCCCCTTAGGGCAGGGACAAGGAGAGAAATCGAGCCTTTTTTTTTTTTGATACAGAGTCTTGTGGGGTGCAGTGGTGCCATCTCAGCTCACTGCAGCCCCTGCCTCCCGAGTTTAATGATTCTCCTTCCTCAGCCTCCCAAGTAGCTGGGATTACAGGCGCCCATCACCATGCCTGGCTAATGTTGATATTTTTAGTAGGGACAGGTTTTGCCACGTTGGCCAGGCTGGTCTCAAACTCCTGACCCCTGGTGATCTGTCCTTAGCCTCCCGAAGTGCTGGGATTACAGGCCTGAGCCACCGCATCCGGTCAGAAATCTAGCTTTTTTGGACAGGAAAACCTGTATTTTTTCCACTAGGCCACATGGTTTGTACCCTCAGTAAGTCATAAGCTGCCTTCGAACCAGTTACAGGAATCGCAGGAAGCACCGGAGCGACACTGCCGGGTGGAATGCAGATGGGACCCCCTGAGGGTGTGAGGAAGGGCCATCCACTCTGTGCAAGTGAGGACATGCCCCTGGAGGGGGTGGATCGGTGGAGCAAGTTCGCTGGAGAACGGGTGGGATAAACCCAGAGTGAAGAAGAGGAACAGAGCCCCCAACGGGTTGAGAAACTTGATAAATGGACTCTTACAGCTCTCTGTGCCTGGGGCCTATCTCAGGGACTACTTTATTTTAGCATAGGTGCCATCTAACGTGAAATATCCACAATGGGTAAATCCACAAGAGGAAAGCAGACTGGAGGTTGCTAGGGCTGCAGGTGGGGAGGGGAGGGTGGGTGGGAGCACGTGCTTCACGGACACCAGTTTTTCTTGGGGTGATGAAAACAAATGGGTTGGAACTAGACAGAGGTGGTGGTCGCATAACACTGTGAATGTACTAAATGCTACTGAGCTGTTACTTTAAAATGGCTAATTTTATGTGATGTGAATTTCACCTCAATAGATAAAGAATGCGAAGGGATGGAGGACCCTTATTCTTCAGAGGACTGCATTTGTCCTGGGGTCCTCGTCCCTGACCACTCTCCAAGGGACTGAGTGGTGGGTTAACCTCACTGCCTCAGCCCCCGTGCCCCCATCACTAGGCCAGGAGTGCATTGTAGGGTCTAATTGTCTATGTTGGGTTCCAGGAAAATTTTGTGAAACATTGATTATTTCTAGCAAATTAATTTGCAGTCATAATTCCATTTCACAGTTGTCAGAGCAGCCAAAATCTGTCCCGGGGAGGCACAACATGTTGTGATTAAAGCTGTCTCAACTCAGTTTCTAAACTGGCATTCACTCAGCATGGAAAGAAAATGAAGGAATTGACTTGGGGGCTGCTGGATGGGCAGCTCCACACTTCGATTTGACCAGCAGCCACATTCTAGCTGCCCCCTGGCAATATTCTCCATTTGGTTCACACTTCCTAAGTGCACTTTCACCCACGGGCTCTCCTTTCCTCTTCACAACAGCCTCTGGGGACACGTTTACAGAAGGGGTTCAGAGAAGGCCAGCAGGATGAAGAGGTCACACAGCCAGGAAATGCAAAACTGAGATGCACCTTACACGTCTGCTGGATTCTTGTTTGAAGTAAGGCTTGTCTCAGCATTTCTTTCAGTACAAACACATACTCAGTGCCACATGGTGGAATGATGCGACTGGGAGTTTGAGAACTTGCCCCTCAGGTTACCCGGCCCTTACAAAGGAACAGGCATTGTGCCCTGGGAAACAGGAAGATCGCTGGGGCAGGTGGAGTTACTTGTTAGTAACAAGCTACTTACGCTCTCTTTGCCTCGGTTTTGTAGAGTGTGGATAATAATAGTAATGGTTTATTCATTGGGCTGTTGTGCCCATTAAGTAGATTAAATAAGATAATATACTCCAAGAGTTTAGCAGGATGCCTGGCCTGTAACGGGTGCTCCATGAACATTATGCATTATTAACAATCAAATCATCACTCCAACCTCCTCTTCCTCTGCCATGCTTAGCCTCCCCACCACCCAGCAGTTAACCAAACCAGAGATCTGGGAACCCTCCTAAATGCCGTCCTTCACAGCCTCTTGAATGATCAGTCTCCAAATTCTGTGTGTTTTTTATTTTCAGCATCTTTTCTTCTGCCTCTTCCTGTGGGTGATAGATCATCCTGACTTCAAAGTCAGTGAGCATACTTGTTCATTAAGCATCGGGTGAGTGAATATTTAATGTCTTCCTAGTAAGCCTGGCACTGAGCTGTGCTATTCCGAATCCCAGCTGGATCCCACCACTGAGCTGGAAGCTGGGCTTGAGCCTACAAGGACTTCCTTCCCTGTACCACAGTCTGTGTGCCTGTCCCTCTTCTCAGTCCTGAGGGCTGGGGAGGAAAAGAGTCACATCATGCTTGTCCGGGTGTTCCCAGGGGCTTGGCAGCTGCTGGCCCAGCCCACAAGTTCTGATAGCACAGGGCGCACTCGGGAGTGCAGAACGGCTGTGTGTGCCGAGATGGTGGTTCCTCATCAATCCTTGTCATGCCTGGCAGCCCCAGTCCATTCAGAACTCAGGGTAGAACTCAGCAGCAAGAGTGATACTGTCTTGGCTGCCGTGACCAGTCAAGTGACAAATGTCTGTGGTCCTAGAGAGGATGGCATTCCCTCCTTCCCCACACTCTTGGGGGATAGAACATAACAATATTGATGTCATAATTCCTATGTCACTAAAATGATGTCATTGGCTGCTCAGAATCCCAGCACTTAGATTCGAGAGAACTACACAGGTTTAGCGCTGGAAGGACAGGTGTGAGCCACATATCTGAACAATGGCAACCGTGATTTGCCAGGTGCCATGTTAAGGATTATATGTTCATTACTTCTTTAATTCCACCAGCCACCCAACAGGATAAACACTACGATGGTCTTCATTCTTCTGATGAGGAGGCAGAGGCATTAGGAAGTGTAGTGGGCTGAATCATTGCCCAGCCCCACCTCCAAAAGCTATGTTCAAGTCCGAACTCCTGGGACCTGTGAATAGGGCTGTATTTGAAAATAAGGTCTTTGTAAATGTAATCAAGCCTCATGCCTGTTATCCCAGCACTTTGGGAGGACGAGGCGGGTGTATTGCGAGGTCAAGAGATCGAGACCATCCTGGTCAACATGGTGAAACCCTGTCTCTACTAAAAATAGAAAAAATTAGCTGGGCATGGTGGCGCGTGCCTGTAATCCCAGCTACTCAGGAGGCTGAGGCAGGAGAATTGCCTGAACCCAGGAGGCGGAGGTTGTGGTGAGCCGAGATCATGTCATTGCACTCAAGCCTGGGTAACAAAAATGAAACTCCGTCTCAAAAAAAAAAAAAAAAAAGTAATCAAGCTAAGAATCTCAGGATAAAATCATCCTGGATTTAGATGGGCTGCAAATCCTAAAATCGATGTCTTTATAAGGGAAAGGAAAGGAGACACAGAGAAGATGGCCACGTGAAGACAAAGGCGGATGGGAGCCATGCGGCCACAAGCCGAGGAAAGCCTGGCACGCTGGAAGCTGAAAGAGGCAGCAAGGATGCTCCCGTGGAGCCTCCCAAGGGCACATGGCCCTGCTGGCCCCTTGATATTGGACTTTTAGCCTCCACAACTGTGAGAAAATGAAGTTCTATGGCTTCAGGCCACTCAGTTGGTAGTGACAGGAAATGAATACAAGGGGTAGAGAACTTGCCAAGTCACCCAGCCAGCATGGCAGGGCTGGGGTTAGCACTTCCTTTCCCCTGTACTGGGTAACTGCCAGGAGTGACTGAGGGATTGGTGCCCTGGTACACTCTTCTGCCCTCCTTTCTTCTCTCCCAGGGCCTGGTGCTCAGCCCAGTATACAGAAGGCACTTAATAAATGTGTGAATTGGCTTTTCACCTTGATGCCATAGGCCTGGTCCGGCTCACTGGTGTCTGCAGCAGAGGTGGAAACAGCTCACAACCTCTCAAGATGTCAGCATGGCAGGGACGAAGGGTCCCTTGAAACTCATCGTATTCTCCACACCTCTCATTAGAACTGGACACCAGGCTGAGGAGGACCAGTGGCTTGCCTCAACCACCCAGCAGTACCTCTCAGGTCAAGTCTAGAATTCCTGGTCCTGACTCTCAGGTTCAGCAAATTCTCATGACTGTCACAGTGATATTCAGCTGCCAACTGTGCATGATTCCACCTCCTAATAACGTGTGTACTCTCCCTTCCTTGCCTCTGCTCAGATGCTGCCCATGTTCCGACACTGATTCTTCCCTTCTCGTCTCCCGCATAGCTTCCCAGCTGGTCCTCCGGCCCCTGAGTCCTCTTCAATCTGTCCTTCTCACTGCTGTCCAGGGAGTCGGTGTACTGACATGCCACAGACGACGGTATTCCCTGCTAAAAGATCTTCCCATCATGGCGGCTGTTTCACAAACTGTGTTCCTTGCAATGCCACCGGCTCCATGTCAGGCCAATAGAGGCAGGAGGAGAAAGAGTTCTGAGGTCCAACGTGCCTGGGAGGGATGAGGTCCAGCTGCATTCTTCCCTGCCGGGCTCCTCAGAGCCTTTCATGTGCTGATGTACTTTGGTGATGTTCACAGGGACCCAACTCCAGAGCAGGCATGGCTTGGAAATGTATTTGACTTGATCCTGGAATCCTTCCTATTTTTAATTGTTGGTGGAACAGAAGGTTCTAGGGCTGGGGACGAGTCTGGCCCAGAGGGTGAGTTCACATCCACGGCCCAGCGCTGTCTTGTGCTGCCCTGCTTGCCTGTGGTCACCCTGGCTCCGTGCTGCGTGCGCTTCCTGGGACACCCTGTCTCTGTCTCCGTTCCTGCCACTCTTCCCTGACTCACAGAAGGTGCAGCCCCAGGGCTACGTCCTCCAGGAACCTACCATGTGCCAGACAAAGCTCTTCACAGGTACAGCGGACTCCTCAGAATAGGTCTCTGCTCTTATCACTTCCTTACCTTCTCCCTCCTACCCAGGCTGGATTAGAGGCTTCCT